AGAAATAGCTTTGCCCCGGGTTATTATATAGTTCTTAAAATCTCAACCCACTCCAACCTCCAACTGGAGTATAACCCATGTTGCTCCATTAACAACCCTACCTCGAAGTGACATAACCACGTGATGGTTTTACTATAAAACACATCACGTGATCATATACGAAGTGACCTAGGTCACTTCAAAAAAAATGAGATGACCTTGAAATTGTCCATCACTGAGTCTAGTCGATATTTGGATCGACTACAAACACTAAGTACAGTTTCTTTTTAAAACTACTGTGACATTTTTTTTTATAGAACGCTTAACTAAGTTGTCGCTAATCAATGCCATTCTTGTTACGTAGGTAATTTTATTAGTCACTATTTTTGAATTAGTGCATATTACTACTCATTGTCTAATTAATAGATTCATAAAACTCCATTATTGCACTAATTCTAAAACAGCGATAATATCAAATATGATCAAATTCTTAGTGAGTTGATCCCAATGCAATAAATCTTTAAATTTCAAAGGTTTTTACTTGGTACCGCTCAAATTATTTCACCAAAATCATGATTCAATATTTTATTGAGTTATTAATTCTATTAAACGCATTTTCTACGGTCACACCTGATAGAATAGATTGTTTTTACGACTTAAATTATCCCTCACAGCGGTATGATGCCTCACTAGCCATGACAGCTAACATTTCAACCCCTATTCCCAACCTAGGAATCATGCTTAATTTTACTAATGCATTTAGGCAAGATATTTCTGCAGATACTAAAATTGATATTATATTAGTGTCTAGTTCTGTAAAATATAAATATACTCGGACAATTTGTGATGTAGTCAATTGTCCAATTCCAGCCGGAACGACAACTACAATATTAGTGGCATTTAAAATACCACAAGAGTTGGGCAATGATTTTCAAGCTTATCCTTATCTTTATAGTAGTATAACTTATGGTTGTTCATGTTATGCGACGGCATCTGTGTCGAACTGCTTAGACTGGCCTCCTTTGCCTTAAAACCCGCTTGAATACTGTTCCAAAGCACTTGCTACACAACGTTGGTTTTTATACAGGTGTTTTAGTAAGTATTTCTTGAGAATGTTATTTTAGACCTGTCTTTATTTAGTAAAATTCATAAAATTCATCCTGATCTATTTTAATCGTTTATATAGGTTCTAATTAATTAGCTCATTTCACTTACCCAAAATGAAAAACCTGTATATATCAAATAAGAATAAGCACAAATATAACTCATTCTCTTTTTTTTAAATATACAGTATTAAGAATTCCTTGTCGAATATTACCTTTTTTATTTTTGTTTTAAAAGTTTTTATTTAATTATTTATGTAAATTACAGATATTTTAACATTTCAAACTTATGATGTAGTGTGCAACTTTTACTCGTGTATTCTAAATATTAGTTATTAAATAATAAAGATCTAAATTTGGGAACATCTAGTTTTCGCTTGGCGTCAACGCGTTATATAATTTACGGCAACCATCGATCTTGCGCTTTTTACTGTATTTAATACTAAGAAATTGTTTATTTATGGATAATGGTGTTAACATTGCAATTCACAACTCAAAAATCATAGCAATTGATTATTGACATTCATCAGAATATAAATTTTCGGCTTTTCCAATACAAGAATGATGTCTTTTTTAAATAAGGTCCACAGGCGTTGCTGCAGTAAGCTCTAAGATGTGATTAGATTACACAACGCAGTGTGGCAAGAGCGATGTCCATCCGAATAATAGTTTTAATACATACAGTATAAGCGCAAAATTAGTCTTCAGGGTATGCTGTTATTACAAACCGAAGATCGAGAGTGTTAACTATATAACTAAACATTACTAAAAAAAAAAAGAATCCCGTTTTAGAAATAGTATTGCTTATTGATAAATTGTGAATCTTTGCATTAATTTTCAATTGTTTTATATAGTGTGAAGTAATTGCTTTTTATAATGCGAAAATTAATTTAAACTTCTCAGAAATGAATTTTCTATAGCAATGTCAATAAGTACAGTTATAATTGGTGGTAGAATTACTGAATTACGGCATTACGGCATTTTACCAGTTGGTAGAATTAAATACGGCACAGTCCCTGATTGCCGTAAATATTATATGGTAATCAGGGTTGTAAATGTAAACTTACCAATAGTAAATTACTGATAAATTACCGTAAGTTACCAAATTACTGCGGAGTTAAGCTTAATTTTGGCTGGCATTAACTTTATATGTATAGTTAACTTTTCTATAACGAACTGACTGTTCTGGAAGAAAAAAAAAGTTCATTATAGAAAATTACTATATTTTTTTAAGGACCCATTGCACTTTCTATACTGAACTATGATAAAAATTTTTAAATTTTTAAGTTTGTATGTTTAGAGTTTGTTATATAAAAGTTCGTTATATTCAGAGACAACTATATTCGTTTTTTAATTAATAAGTATGATTATAGTTTATTAGATTAAGCATCATTTATTAAATTTATTAATTGTAATACTTGTAGAACATTTTACAAATTGTACAAAGATTCTAAATATATTACTATCTATTAAATAAGTATAGTAATTTAAAAGAAAGAAAAACAATATAAAAAAAGAGCAAAAAAAAGAGCAAAAAACTTACTACTATTATTAAAATTAATATGCGCACTAATAATTGTTTAGATAAATTATAAAAATATAATATTTAGATGATTAATATTCTGTTGATTAAGATATTAAATAATAAAATAAGTTTAGTTAATATTAATAAATCCAAAGCGAAAAAAATTTTTTATTCTATAAAATTGTACTTACTATATTTCATTATATTCCAAATCTTCATATATTTCTTCGTTGCCAGATTCTAAAATTTCATCTATATTTTCATTACTTTTTTCTAATTCATCGAATAAAAAAAGATCTGATTCATTTTCAAATAAATTATCATCATTATTGCTATTAATCTCAGTTACTGTATTAAAATTTAAGTTTGTATCTATATTATTACTAAATTGATTAGATTCAAAATTTTGGTTTTGCATATTTAATTGCTTAAGAATCTTTAAATTCCAGTAAAGATAAACACACTTTTCTACTTTTCCATCATTCAACTGATTTTGTAATTTATTATGAATAAATCCAAATGCAGACCAATTACATTTACTGGCTGCTGAGGTTATTGGAATTGATAGTAATTTACGAGCAACAGTACTTAAAACAGGATATCTGCGTCCAACTAAAATCTACCAATTAATTGGATGCATATTTGCATTGTCCCATAAATAGTTACTTGAAAATCTACCTAACTTTTCTAAATATTCTGTATATTCATTTAAAACTTGAATATAGTTGTTCTCAGGTGTTAATCGTAAAATTTCATGCTCAATAGTTTCATTCCACTTGCTAGTATCTAAAATTTCTTCACGATAAAAAGGATCAAGTTGATATGCTACAATAATAGCTGGATTATATAAAAATTTTTTCCATCTATAGATTCCAAATTCACGTATTTTATTTTTAAGCTCCTATAAAATCTTAGTATTTTTTAAAATTATTTGATTCAATTGTTTAAGTTTGACATATGCTGTTGAAATTATAGATTGATCTGATTGAAGCTTATTAATAAATATAATGAATAGTTCAAGAATATTGCATAAGATTTTTAAATCATTTCAAAATTGAGTATTAATTATTTGAATTCGGATTTCTAAAGGAATATTAAGCCCATCTTCATAAAGTACATTTTGAATTGTCAATTTTGTTTTAATTAAATTGCTTAAACAATAATAAACAGATCCCCATCAGGTTTCAATTGGTAATAATAATGCTATACAAGTATTACATTTTTCCTTTTGTAATCTACGCAATATTGCAAATAATAGTTTATTAGAACGAAAATAGTTAATAATTTTTTTTAAATCTTGTAATACTTGTTTGATCATTCCAATCCAAGTAAATCTTTAAGCCACAAATTAACTCCATGAGCCCAACAACCAAGAAAAATCTTTTGTGGATAATTATTTTTAAGAATCGTCCATGCAGCTTTCATACAAAGAACATTGTCTGTTACAATTGCAACTACTTTTTCTATACCAATTTCCTGAATAATTTCATCAATACCAGTTGCAATATTTTGAGAAGTATATCAGTTCTCATATATTGGTACAGATTTATAAAAAATTAGAGATGGAACAGTAACCATATAATTAATTATACCTATATGATTTAAATTTAACCATCTATCTGTAGTTATAGAAACATATTGCTGATTTTCAATTAATTTGTTTATAGTAGAATGAATTGAATCATATTCGGTATTTAATATTGTATTTGATAACTTGAATCGTAAAGAGATTTTAAATGAAGGTATAGCTTTTTTTAGAAAATACAAAAATCTTTATTTTCAATAACATTAAAAGCTATTTTAGCTGAATAAAATGCATATCCTAATAACTTTTCAAGTTCTTGTTGATCTGACTTACTAAATTTGTAAGCAAACCCATTTGGTGTACTTTGAGTGTTTTTTGCTGAACGTGAAATAGAAGTTGTATATTTTTGTCTACGAAGATAAGCTTTATATTTTTCATATATTTCTAAGTATCGTTGTTGTCGAGTAGCATTTTTACTATTATGCATATGATCAGCCAAAATTTATATACCTATGATTGTAATACCATAATATCTGAATATGTATTTAAGTTTAACGCTAATTAGTAATTATTATGTAAAAAATTTTTTTACAATGCTACAGAAAATTGAAGCTTTTTGAAGTGAATATACAGAAATTGATACTAATCAATTTCAGTGTAAACATTGTAAAACAATATATCTTGGGCGATTATATGTATAATCTCGGCCAATTAAAATTTTTTATCATGGTAATTTAACATGGTAATTTACTATAAGTTTTAGTAACTTACCGTAAATTACAGAAATTATACAACCCTGATGGTAATGTCATAATGCTGTAATGCTGTAATACTATAATGTCATAATGTGAAATCATAATACAATACTATAATACTATCATAGTAGTTTGATATATCTGTTCTTTCTCAATTGTATAATTTATAATTCGGATTTTTTTGCGAGCGCTCTATGAATGCATGAACATAATATAGGTACTACATCAAATTTGTACTACAATTCTATAAGTACCACATTTATTGTGGCATATCATATCAGTTCTACATTCAATGTACAATGTGTTTTGCTATTGTGCTGATCATTAGCATGATATATTTAAGAATTTTGCTGTTTTTTTGTTTTCCAAATTGCTACTGCCCAACGAATATGCACAAATTTCAAAAAAAAATCTGTAACTTAATAGCTATAGAAAATATTTACAAAGTTATAGAATTTTTTTCTGGCAAATTTATGCATATTTCATTGAGGAATAGGATGTTTCTAGAGTGCTCGCACTATATAATTAAGTATATAGCAGTGTAGCACAATTATGTTAAATTAGAAATAGATAAATATATAGGATCTTGGCTAGGAAATTAACTTTCCGAAACTATGTTGATTTTGTAAATAGAAATTAAATACGCCAGCCATCTAGTAATCCAATTCGAATAATCTTTTTTTTGTATTTTGTAGAGCTTATTTAGCTTCACAAAATAAAAAATGTTCATTCAAATTGAATAACTAGATGGTTGGCAAATTTAATTTTTATTCACAAAATCAACATAGTCATTTTCCTAGCAAAGATCTGTATTATAAAATTTATATAAACTTGGTTGTTTTACAGCTATTATCAATTTTTGGGGTATTTGTAAAAGTTGACTGGATAATTTTTCAGCAGATTTAGTTAAATTTATGATTTTGATACAATAGATTCTATAATTTGATATTCATATATAATTTAAGATAAGATAACTATTTAAATATTATGCCAATACAAATATCTCAGATCAAATAACAAAATCATGATGTTTCAAAGCATGTTTACTAGTGAATAATAAAAAATTAAAAAACATATTATTTAAAAAATCATAAAACACTCGGATGTTAGCATATCTTTATAA